AGTTTATCCCTTCATGAATTCCCACAGGATGTGAGGGGCACTGGCTTCGTCTATGCATTTCATGAGTGGGATGGAGAATCCTCTTCGGTAGTGTTTGTCATTGAGCAATACGTAAGATCATGTTCTTTGTTTACTCACGCTGAATTCCTTTTGGTCGGAAGGTAGTGCTCCCGTGGTGAGGTAGTGGTATATCTGTGTCATCCAACAATCCTGGTCTCCGATGGCGTTTACATTGAGTGTCGTGGAGGGTTTTTCAATTCTCGGACGAGGGAGGATTTCTTGGATGACCGATCTGTTCCATCCTTTTATCCTTGAGCTTGCCAGCTTTGATAAGATATCTAATCAAGTGTCGTGCTCGCGAGGAACATGCTTGAATTCCACAGAGAGAAACTTGTTCATCTTTTCATTTAAGAGAGCTATGTACTCGATAAGATGGTTGTTCTTGGCTTGATATTCACCTCTCACTTGAGAAGCGACGAGCTGAGAGTCGGTGAATATCTCTATTTCTTGTGCGCCCAGGTCTTCAGCCAGACGTAGCCCTGCGAGGAAGGCTTCGTATTCGGCTTGGTTGTTCGAAGTCGGGAAAGACAAAGCAAGTGAGACCTCTATCAAGATACCTTCCTCATTCTCAAGGATGATGCCTGCACCACTCCCCATCGAATTAGACGCCTCCTCCATGAAGATGGTCCATCGATGGGCACCGCTTGTTGGGGAGGTGAATATGGCCATTTTTGCCACAAAGTTGGCCAAGACATGGGATTTGAGGGCCTTTCGAATTTCATACAAGATATTGAACTTCGATAGTTGTAACGACCATTTCAACATTCTGCCAGCCATGTTTGGGCGACCAAGTAGTTGCCTTACGGGCTGGTCGATTCGTACAACGATCATGTGGGCCAGGAAATAGTGTCTTATCTTCCTCGTTGTATTGATGAGGGATAGTGAAACCTTCTCAATATGATGGTACCTGACTTCCGGCTCTTGCATGGCTTTGCTCGTGATGTATATTGGCTTTTTCCCTTCATCAGTTTCTCGAATGAGGACCGCGCTGACGACCTCAACTGAGACGACCAAATAAAGGTATAGAGTCTCTCCGTCCTCTGGCCATGAGAGCACCAGTGGTTGAGAAAGTGCTTATTTGAGATGCTAAAGAGCATGCTCGCACTCCTCCGTCCACTCGAACGCTTCTTTCTTACGCAGTAGTTTGAAAAATGGAAGCGCATGTTGGGAAGACTTCACGACGAAGCGGGATAGCAAGGTGAGCATATCGTTCAGGGATTGGATGGATTTCTTTGAGTTCATTATGGAGAACTTGGAAAAATCCCTGTATTTATCGGGGTTGGCTTTGATTCCTCATTCAGTTAAGTAGAAATCAAGGAAATTGCCCACTTGTACGCCTAAGGTGCATTTCTCTGGATTGAATCTCATCTGACACTTCCTCGCCTAGTCGAAGACCTTCCTGGCGTGCATGGTGTGATCGATTTCTCCTCGAGGTTTGACGATCATGTCGTCCATATAGACCTCGAGCGTATCTCTGATTTCTGCTCGGAAGACTTTGTTCATCATTCATTTGTAAGTATCATCGACATTCTTCAAGCTGAAGGGCATTATGTTATAGTAATAGTTTCCCGACTAAGTCATGAATGCGTTGTACTGTTTTTAGCTCCTCGCCATTGGGATTTAATTGTAGCCCAAGTACGCATCCATGAATGATAAAAGTTTATATCATGCAGATTTATATACCAGTCTATCTATGTTAACCAATAGATATGCATATTTGGGACATGCCATATTGAGATTGATATAATCAACACACATAGGCCATTTTCCATTAGTATTTTTGACCAATACAATGTTCGACATCCAGGTTGTGTACTAGGACTCAAAAATAAAATTTGCATCTAGGAGGTCTTTTACAACTTTTTCAGCAGCCACCACTTTCTCCGGAGACTACCTACGCCTATGTTGAACTACTTCCCTAGCAGCTGGATCGACGGTCAGTTGATGGTAGGCGACCTCAGGGTCGAGTCTGGGCATCTTCGCATCGCTCCACGCGAACAGGTCAGTGTTCTCTCTCAGACAGGCTTTGAGCTGCTTCCACTCCGGACCGGGGAGTTCTCTGCCAATCTTCACCCCTTTGGTCGGATCATCGCCGAGGAGGATGGCTTCAAAGTTCCCGTCTGGAATGGGATGCACAGGATGGAGATGCTCCCTATTATCAATGGGTCGGGCCTCTCCCTCCTTCCCCTTCTCATCCTTTAGCTCCTTTTTGGTGAAACGAGTGTCAAGGTCCACAAAGCTGATGTGGGGTGGCGACTTCTGCTTGGCTAATACGGCTGTGGTGGACGACTTGTCATTGGCGAGTCGGGCTTGTTTTCTGGATGTCTTCGGTGTAGTATCAATTGAATTTTGTCCCTTGGCAGCTGTGTTGAAACATCTTCTAGAGGCTTTAATATCCATGTGCATAATGACGATGTGACCCCTCTTGGTGTAGTACTTCATCTTCAAATGGACCGTGGAGGACACGACAATCAGCTCGTCCAGGGTTGTCCTTCCTAGGATGCAGTTATAGAGAGACGGGCAGTCGATGACCAGTAAGCAGATAGTGACTTATATGGCCGTTGCTTCTTCCCTGGAGGTGACTATCAGCTCGACGTAACCCTAAAGTTTGGTGGTCGTGCCATTGAACCACTTCATTTTAGAGCCCACATACGGTGTCAAGTGGGTGTGGTCGAGCTGGAGAACGGTGAACAGGTCTGCATACATGATGTCGACAGAGTTGTCCTCATCGACCAAGATGCGACAGACGTCAAAGTTTACCATCTTTTCTCTCACCAGAAGAAGGATGCTAGCGTTTGGCGTTGAGTCGAGCAGTTCTTCAAGATAAAAGGTAATGGGTTCACAATTTCCCCAAAACCTTTCGAGAGTAGTGTTCTTGGTCGAGCTTGCATCAGTAAGTTCCTCGAACTTTCTCTTCACTGATCCGATGATGGTCGGGTTGAATCCTCCTCCGGATATGATCATAGAGGCGGGGAACCCTTCCCACCTGCTACATGTGGAGACGAGCATATCTTTCTCCTCATATGGGATGAAGAAATATTCCGGTTAGGTGATGCATATTGTTATCTACATGAGTGTATCATCCGAGGGAAGGTTGTCTTCCTCGACCCTTTTCTTCTCGCGAGTGTCTTGTCGGACTCCAGCTTGCTTGAAGTCAGAGTTGATACACTCTGCGAGGATCTGGTCGCGAGGAGCGGTCAGCAGAGTGTATTAGGTGAAACGGCGCACGAGGCCCTTATGTTTACGGGAGTCGCGAGGATGGTCCTCCCTCTTTTTGTCCCTGCCCCGATAGGGAGAAGAAGTCTCGTCATGCTTCAGGATTCTGGTGTTCTCCCGACTTCTTGAGTCTCGAGCGTTGTCGACCGCCTCTTTCTCTTCGTATGTGATGTAGGAGTGAGCTTTATAGAGGAGGTCTTCCCATGACTTAGGTGCTTCGGTACCGACTGCTTTTTTGAAGGCGCAACCCCTTCTCGAGCAGGTACCTCTTTATCCGGCTAGTCATGCTAACTTGGATGGCTTCACGGTTGAACCACTTAATGATGGCCTCGAGAGACGCCTCAGTTTTGGGGTATTGCCGAGAGGTTGTGAAGTTCCTATTGAACTAAGTTTTTAGGACCCTCCATAAAGTGATCGTCCTTAGAGCGAGGCTTTTGTACCATCCCATGTCACTTTTCCTCAGAGTCGTGGGAAAAAACCCACACTTTATGGCGCCCCCGATGTTGTGGTAATGGAGCATCGCCTCGAAGCCCTCGAGGTGATTGTCGGGGTCCGTGGCGCCATCGTAGGTCGCCAAGGGAGGAGGTTTTTCCATCCCCTTGGGAATGGGGGCCTCCATGATTTCCTGGGATAATGGACCGTTGAGTTCGTCTTTGTCGCTTTGGTGTAGAGAGTGAGACGAGGAGGATTCGAAGCAAAGTCCTCTATGGCGCGGAGAATTTCTTGCCCGGTTCCTAGTTTTTGGGGCTGCTCTTTGCCTTTGCTCCCTTTAGGAGCAGGGGATATTGGCTCCTTTTGCGGTGGTGTGCGGTCGCGCTTCTTGGTGATTTCAGGAGGGGGTCTCTCTAGTCTTGGGCCTCGCTCGGTTCGACGAGGAGAGATGCTTTGGGACCCATTCCGTTGATGTCTCCATGGGGGAGAATAGGAGCGCACCTCTCGTCATTGTGGGGACGAGCTACGAGATTCGGGTCCTCGACGTTTTCCGGTGGGGGAGCGGGATCGCCAACCCTTTTCCATCCTTCTAATATGTTCATTTTGTTGGGAAATTAGGTAGTTAGTCTGATTGATGTCCATGAACAGGGCCCCAATGGTGGGATCAACATTGGCGGGCACAAGGATTACATGATATTATGTAGGATGGTTAACCTGCTGAATTGTGTCGAAGGAGTGTTCCCATGACGAGGACGATGCAGTTCGTCCGTCCTTGTGGTCACCCTGGTCGTGACCAGCTCTTCCGTCATTGTTGTTTTCACCGTGGGCGAAAATAGTAGCGTCGATGTTGTCTTCGTTGTCGTGTTGAGTGGCCATGATGATCAGAAAGTTAAAAGAGTTTTCTTTGGTCTTAAGTTAGAGAAGACGGGGAAGCAATGTTTCCCACAGACGACGCCACTAATCTTACGTGACCAGAATGATCTTCAGTGACCAGCAGCACTTGGACTTCTGCGATTGTTGAAGTGAATGTGGATACTTGCAAGACACTTTTATGCCAAAGTGAGGTTCAGAGCAAAGTGCAAGTAGGAAAAAGTGTACCTGACCCTCTAGTGAAAGAGGGTATTTATAGCTCCAACGTTGAGTCAAGATCCCTATTTGGGCTAGATGCCCAGGTCCAACATGAAAACTGTCAGGATCCTACGTAGGTAAAAGAGACCAGTTCGTGGTCTCTATCATGGCTCAACTGCTTTGTGATTCTCGGAGGGCAAATACCCGTTCTTTTCGAAAGCAGAATGACTCTGATATTCAGAGGAATGTTGGTCACGTATCATTGTCGAGCATGTGGAGGAAGTGTCCTCGACATGCACGTGTTAAGGAGCATGTCCTCAATGGATACGCATAAGAGAGGTTCCCGACATGCACGTGCTGAGAAGCAGGTCCTCGACGGACACATGCATGAGAGGTTCCTAACATACACGTGCTGAGGAGCAGACCCTTGACGGACACGCGTAAGAGACGTTCCCCAACAGTTACAATAATGTGGACCATAATAATGGACTTTCTTCTTAGTAGAGTTGGGCTGGGTCTTAGCTAACGATAGATTAATGACGGGCCCAGTCTAGAACATCAAATTTTTATATGACATACCATATTTCTTAAGACTGGGAGAAAATTTTGATTAATAAAAAAATAAAAAATATTTTTGATATTATAAAAATTTATGGTGGTGTTAAGTTAAATTGAGGGGGGTGCCACACAAATATCTCAAAATCAAATAAGGCTATCTCAAAATTTTTTTTGACATATTCAATCTACCTAATACACAGCTAAATTTATTTCATTAACCTAACTAAAACAGTCTAACAACCTTTTTTGATACCCCTAAATGTGATTTCAACTATCTAATTATTATTTATCATTTTTTAAATTCTACAGTTAATTCTGACTGCACAAATTAATCATTGTAATCTTGAAAAGACATTGGAAACATTCCAAACGTGAACCATTCTACTTCTGCTATTCATCTCCTATTTTTTATCATAGCTCACTTTTATATAATCTTATCTTGCATCATTCCCTATTCTCCTATTTTCCTCAATCTTTTTGTTTTAGCATTCTCATTGTACCAGTATCACTCCGTTCCACTGATTTGAATTGTCTCCAACAACTTCCAAAACAAAGGTACAGCGTTTTTTCAGATTTTCATTTTCTTTTTTTTTTATATTTTTTTAATCTTTGTTGAGATTTCTACAGAATCTAAAACTCTATTTCTGATAGGTTAAACACAACACATGTTTACTGATTTGTTTATAGTTACATCATGTTTCAGATTTTCATTTTCTCTTATGTTTTTTATACTTTGTTGAGATTTCTACAAAATCTAAAATCTTTTTCTGATAAGTTAAACACAACATATGTTTACTGATTTATTTATAGTTACATCATATTTATATTTTATTTTTGTTGATTTGGACTTATGAACCAATTATAAAAATTTTGTTTTTGTTGATTTGAACTTATGAATCAATTATAAAAACTCTGTTTTTTTTATTTGAACTTATGAACAAATTATAAAAACTCTATTTTTGTTGATTTGAACTCATTCTATAATATAGATTGTTTGCCATGTTATGGTATTTTTTTATTCATATTTTGAATTCCTCTAGTTCGTTGTTGTGTGAAGATATATTTTATTTTCCGCTTTACTTAACCGTCGTGATATTAATTTTGAGGATTTCAGGACCGGTTTCAGTTGTTTTTTTTTTCGATTGGCTTCGATCGATGTTAGGTTTAATTCAATTGTTAGATTTAATTACTTTAATAATGTTGTTGATGTTGAGAGTTGTGCTAATGAAACTAGAAAATTAAAAAATGTTATTAGGAGTAGAGCTATGAATGATTTCAAGTTTAAAAATTGATTAGGGTTTAGGTTATTGAACCTACTTTGCCTAATGATCAAACGGATTATGTTGAAATGGCTTAATTTTGTAGAAGGACGGCTAGTACTACATGGCATTATCATGGTGGATGTGTTGTTGGTAGGGTTGTTGATTCTCATCTTAAGACCTTAAGAATAGATTCTCTTAAAGTTATGGACAATTCTGTTTTTAGTATTTCATCTAGAATTAATCCTCATGCTACACTAATGATGTTTAGAAGGTGAATTTTTTTAGTTTTGATCAATTCACTTTTCATAACCATTTGAATTGATGTTTGATTAATAATAATAATCATGTTTTGTGATTGTTCTATTTTTGCAAAATATTTGAATTATTTATGTTTGAGTAAAAATATATGCATGATTAGCAAACAATAATATATATTTTTCCTGGATACCACTTTTATCTAGGATCATATGTTGTAGTTAAAAAAATAACTTTTCTTATAAATAGTTAGAGACAAATAGAACAGTAGGTAAAGGTATTTGTCTGTCTACAAAATATTAAACGACGGACAAAAATCCGTTGTCGGGGTCAGAGTGGCTGTTGGTGATTTATATTCTGGTTTTTACCTACGAAAAAATAACATATAGTGACGAATTTTGTCTGTCATTACATGTCAATTTTCTTGTAGTGATTGCACTTGCAAATTTTTTTTCTTCAAATAAATAAAATTTTCAATTTGAATACCCAACTAACTAACTTTTTCCTATAATTTTCAATCTAACCATGTTTCAAAAAAAAATGAATTAAAGAGGAGGCGCAACTTGAATTGACGTCTCCTATTTTTTTTTTTACTTTTACCAATTACTTGTAGAATTATCTGCGAATATGGTGTTACTTGCGAATTTTCTTGCAGATTTACCTATAGATAAAGACGCGCAATTAAATCCGTAGGTAATGTCATATTCGCGGATAAATTCACAGGTAAATTAAAAAAAAAGTAAAAAATATAAGAGACGCCAATTCAAGTGACGCCTTCTCTTTAATTCATTTTTTTATTTGAATCATGGTTAGAATGAAAATTATGAGAAAAGATTGATTTATTGGATATTAAAATTGAAAATTTTGATAATTTGAAAAAAAAATTCTGCACTCGCTGCCTACATTTTTTTTACAGAATTTGAATTTTTTTTTAGATGTATGTTCATTGCCTACATTTTATTATTATCTTATTTATTTTAATTAATTTTGTAAAGTCATAAAACATTAAAATTATAACATAAATAATTAGTTTATAAGTATGCCTAAATTATTTATTCCAATATAAAGTAATTTTTGTATGTATTTAAAAGTAATGTTTTTTAATTATAATTAATTAAAATATTACAATATTAATATTAACTACAATGTTAATATTATTTTCAAATATACACTTCTTAATATATGATTATACGATTCTTAAAAACATTTTAATGAGATTATATTTATTATAATTAATTATTTAAATTAAAATTAAAATTCTATTTTAAATTATAATTGGAAAGTTTTACAAAATTGGAAATTTATTAGAAATAAATAATTTATAAATAAAAATCTATTATTAAACACCTCAAACATTTATATAAATATTTTTATATGATTTACTTGCTGATACATATTGTTATATTCAACAAATACATATTGTTATTGATCTTACCGGTTGATCAGAACCAGCAAGGTGGTCGGATGATGATCTTCCGTCGGGTTAGAAAGTCGGGGAGAAAAAAAAGGGGTTGTACCTGCAAGACACTCTGACGATCAAGTAAGTGTGAGTGCAAAGAGGTACAAGCAGAATATTAGGGTTTTAGTGATAAATAGTGAATATTTGATACTTGGCCCTTACATGCGTGAGGGTTTATATAGTGCCCCTGGCGCTTGGCCATTGGTTCCTATTTTTGGGCCTAAATATTCGGGTCCGAAAAAATAGATAACTGCCAGGACTTGGTCAAATTGGGCATGTGTGCTCGTAACTAGTCGTTGGTTCCGAGGAGGAGGTAGGTTACAGGCAGTGGTCTGGTCGGTTCCTGGTTGTCTGGCTGACTTGAGGTTGGGAAGATTGAGAGACGCTCTCCAGATGTCGTAGGTTGGTACCGGTTCAGGAGGGAAAATGAATGATGGTTCCCGAAGATGGGAGGGGAAACCCAGGCCACGGTCGTACGGGCCATATCAAAGGAGGAGGTTAGGTTGGGCCCACTTTAGCTGTCGGGCCAGACAAGAACAATAACCCCCCAAGTCGTTGCTTTCGGGAATAGGAGTGATGGCTTTAACACATGCTCGTGGGATGAGGCACTTCCTACAAGGAGCATGAGTGTCGCCCGTTGCGCCTTTCTCGCGGGGAGATGATGAGTTAGTCGTTTTGAGCTTTAAAAATTGAAGAGGTAGTGTGTTTCGGGTAGTGTGCTGACGAAGCAGGGCAATGATAGTCTAGAGGCTAGGGAGCAATGATGATGATCCTACGGTCCCCTAGGAGTGTGTCTCTAACGCGTGAGCGATTTTAGCTATAAATACGAGAGGAGTAGGACATTAAGTACTTTTCATTCTTTACTCGCATTGCTCGTTATTGTTCTCCAGTCGACTGCTATTATTTCTTGAAGATTTACTATCCACCGCCGCTCCTTTCAGCCTTCTTTCTTCTTTAACTGGTAAGAGTTCATATTTTCGTTGTTATTTGGCTGTTGTGGCTTAGATTTTCACAATTTTTGCCTTAGAAATGCATGCGGTTAGACTTAGGGTCTTGTCTGTTAGGGTGTTGTTGTACCCTAAATTTTCCCTTCCATTTTCTTCAAGACATTTTTCTAGGGTTCTCAAATGCTCAAGGATTTTCAAGAGTTGATCAGACAAACTCTCCTCCTAAGCAATGGATCCACAACTAAGGTTTCATCTTGCACAAAGAAGAATAGGTTTCAAAGGTCTCAAATGGTTTTCATGGTTCATCATAGGTCTTCAATAGTGCTCATGACAAGTTTCAAGTCTTGCATCACAAGTTTGCTCAGTCAAAGGCTCAAATGACTGAAAATCAACTATATTGGGTAAAAAGTCAAATGTGGTCAACATATAGTTAAACTTCAATATTTTTGGTCAACATCAACATTTTAAAGTGATATTCATCATTTGATCAAGGTTTGATCACGATTCCTCAAGGAAATCCCTCAAATCATCAAAAGTTCAAAGTTGTCAAATTAGGGTTTCCTTAGGAGAAGTCAACTGAACTTTGACCAAGCATAACTTTCACATGTTTCATCAACTTTTCCCCAACCAAATCCCATTTTAAGAAAATTCAATTCTCTACAATTTTGTATATGTATGCTCAACTCCAAAAAGTGCTTCATTTGAAAGATATGAGCTAATACATTACAGGTAATTTCAAAAGTCAACAAAAAAACACTTTTTCTTAAGGCAACTTGCATCAAGATAAATCTCCAAATGCAAAAATGATAAAAATAGAAATTGAAGGGGACATCTCGAGCTTTCCAAAAAGTCCAAAATCACATTCAAAAGATAAAAATCGAGAGAGTTATGACCATTGCAAATTGGGAAATTTGGAGGAAATGCATAAAGTGCAAAGTGAACAAACTTGAAATTTTGAACTAGTGGCCCTAACTTTTGATGCGCAAATATGTTCATGAGGAGTTAGAGGACCTCTAAATCCATTCACATATTCTTTATGATTTTTATTTCTTTTATTTTAATTTTTATTCATTTAAATACAAATAAAGTCAAATAAAATAGAAGATAATAGTATGAGGGCTCGAGCTTTTATTTCAATCAACTAGAGGCCCAATACAACACATGATAGCATGTTAAAAATCATGCCAAAACTGTGTGAGATGAATAAGGCAATAAATATCTCAAAAATGTAATTTTTTAAACATGTTTGATCTTGTTGATTAAAGCCATCATTGCTTGATTTTATTCCATCTTTGGTTGCCTCATTTCTTTCTCTATATAAGTACAAGCATATTAGATGCAAAGGATACGAGATCCCTGCCTCAAGAAGCTTGGTAAACTCTCCATATTTTTTTGAAAAAACCTAAGTTCTAAAACCAGTGCTACAGGCCCTCTCTTTCCACAACTCCAATATCATTCACCTTCCGCAGCCCCAAAGAGTAAGTTTGGATCAGTTACCACGATCCTAAGCCTGTAAAATCTTGTAACCACCCATAACCATTTTTGTATTTTTTTGAAAATTGATATATGTAATTTGGTTTTATTTTGAACAAGATTAATGCTTCTAATAGGTTTATGGGTTTTGTCTGAACAGGTCCGGATCAGTATGGTAGTCCCATGCACGTTATTTCCATAAATACCATAGTTTGCTATGGTCAGTGTAATTTGGTTCGAAACTCGCGATCCAAGGGCTTTTAGCCAAAAATAAGTCTAGATTTGGATTCAGGAAGTTCAAATTAGGGGGGACATGTTATCTTGGATCCTTAAAATTTTAGTTTTTGCATTTTTGAGTTTTTGCAGGTTGGCGGAGAAGACGACTGGAGCTAGGGCTCCAACACTTCTCCGACCATATATTTCACTTTGTGTATTTACTGTTTTTGTTTGATTTAGATAAACAGAAGTAATGGCTACCCCATCGGTAGAGTGAGCGTAGTAAAGGCATTGGCATACGAGGGCACGGGTTCAATCCCTGCCCCTGGTATGTTATTTTTCTCACATTTCTCTTGCAGATCCAACATGAATCCAGTGCAGCACACTCACCATGCGTCCTCATGTCATATCCATGTGATCTCAACTAATCCAGATCCAATGGCTCTAGAGAAGGCCCCATGATACACCTCCTGAAATCCACCATATGGGATCATACGTGTTGTACCCCACAATTTTTCCTCCCATTTTACTCAATACATGCTCATTGAGGTCCTCAATTTCTCAAACTTGACCAAGAATTGGCTAGACAAATTCTCCTCCTAAACAATGAACCTCCAACTAGGGTTTCACTTTTCACCAAGATGTTTGGGCTGCAAAGTCTCCAAATGATTTCCATGGACCCTAATATGTCTTCAAGATTGTCCATGCCAAATTGCATGCCTTACACTACAAGTTTGCTCAGTCAACTACTCAAGTGTTTGAAAATCAACTGTATTAGGTCAAAATTCAATTGTGGCCAATATACAATCAAAATTTAAGATTTTTTGTCAAGATCAACATTTTGAAGTGATGATAATAATTTTATCAATAGTTGATCATGATTCCTCAAGGAATGCTCTTAATTTATCAAAAGTCAAGAATTACA